GGACCCATCGCGAGGTTTCCTCTGGCTGTTTCCTGGTATTGTCAGCCCCTTGCCCCCCACAGCAGCAGGACACCAGGCGCCCAAGGCCCCAGAGCCACCTTCTTTCTAGTCCTCCCTGGTCACCACAGACCACACGGGCCCAGGCCTTGGTGTGGGGAGTGGGTCCAACAGCCATAGGCCATGTGGGATRTGACAGGCTGTGAGCAGGGGACATCAGTCCACCAGGGAGCCCGGCCCCCTGGGCCCCTGTGCTAGGGGTGGGAAGCCACGCCATCTGCACAGAACGCACATGAATTTGCACAGCCACCTGCTRCAGCGGGAAGAGCCCTGAACCAGAGTCAGACCCTGGAGTCAGTCCCCAACACTAACTTGACAGGATCTCGAACATCCCTGTCCCCTCTGGGCGTCAGCTCCATCTGGGGAACGGGAGACCGCTGGTCTGCCAGTCTGGGCGTGATGGGGCATGGTGGAGCTCATGTGATATGGTGGCAGGAAGAACACCCCTGACGGTGGCTGGGAGGGGTCCCCAGGAAATCCAAGTGACACCCACTTAGGGTAGGTGGTCCCTGAACACTCCCTGAGAGACATGCAGGAGCCGGCCTCTCCAGCCTCCGGGCTTCCTGCCCCATCCACCGTGGTGCCCACCTCCAGCCCCAGGCTGAGGGGCATCCAGGGAGGGCGACGCACAGGCTCCTTCCCACCTCTCCCCCAGCAGCCCTGGGGAGGCCAGAAGCTCCTGGAAATTCTCTCAGCCAGGTGCCAGGGGGTGTGGCAGGGCCCCGGGGGTGGAGGGGACTCAGGACACTCACATAAACACGCCACAGCACCACCACTGCTCCCAGCCCCTCAGTGTGCCCTCCGCCGCCCTGGCCCTCCCTGCAAGTCTGCCCACCGGCTCGGGCACGTCCAGGGCAACAGCCAGGGAGGAGAACCTCATCCCCAGGGCCTCTGCTCTTGCTGCCCCTTGCGTCAGGATCCCCTGGGCTTGGTGTCAGAGCTCCAGGTACTGCCAACCCCAGCAGGGCCTTGCAGGGGGTGGCCGGCAGGGCCGCGACAACCCAAGGGGCAAGGGGGCGGTGGGGCCACTTTAGTGACACTCCATCCTAGGGAGTGGGCCTCTAGGGGTCCTGAGGCTGAAGTCCAGTGAGCGAGCCGAGGGGGAGGGTAGAGGCCCAGGTGGCCGCCTGTAGGGGCTGAGGGTGGGCGGGGTGGGCTCTGAGCTCACAGGAGGGGTGGGAGTGCCTTAGCCCCAGGTCCTGGGGCCTGGTCMCATCTTCTCCCCTCTTGTCCCTTGGGTTCTCCTCCTGGGCCCCCAGTGGCTGCCCATGGAGAACAGTCTGCTGCGCTGTGAGCTGGGCCTGGCCTGCTCTCAGGCTCCGGGGGTCACTTCCTTCCCCCTCTGCAAGGCCCTTTCTGGCTGCCAATGCCCCCCCCTCCCTGCAGCTCAGGTCCTGTCTAACACGGGAAGTCCCAGGAGAGTCCAGCCTGGCGAGTCACCTCCCGGAGCCTGTCTCCCTCACTCCAAAGGAGAAGCGCACCCACCTCAGAGGGCTCTTCTGGGGTTCCATTAGCCCATGGATCCGTCAACCACCCAGCACAGATCCCTGCCCATGATCAGAGCAGAGGACGACCAGCAGCTGTCCCTGTCAGCAGCGCCCAATCTCAGGGGAGAGTGCTCCTGAGCCAGGAGCGCTCTCAAGCCTCTGTGGCAGCAGTGGGCACAGGTGGACGCTGGCTGGCCTGATGGGTGGCAGATCAAGCCCTGCCCACCCAGGTACAGAGCCATAAAGTGAGCCAGCTCTGTGGCCTGCTCTTCTATCGCAGTTTCTGCTGCCCCAGACCCAAAGTGGTCCCGTTTGACAGATGAAAAACTTAGGCCTAGGGAGGATAACAGATCAGCCCGAAGTCACACAGCGTGTGAGCAACTCCGAAGGGGCTAGACCTGGAAACATGAAACTCAAGATTTGGACACCACTGAAGACTGTGTTCACACACACACCTTTTCTTTTTTGAAGCACAGACATTTGAGGAAATGTTGTAATATAAAGAATACCAAGAATACCTACTTTAATACCGGGATATTTTTTGCTGGGGGTGTGGAGGAAGGTACGACACAGCACCATTTAACCAAATGGTCACTCTGATACACTTCGAAGACACAAAGTCCTAGGAAAGTATGGTCCTTTTGAGAGGAAATCAAACGAGTGGCTTGACATATACATCACAACAACAACAACAACAAAAAAGAAAAGAAAAATAAATATCACACTCAATTCTTCCCTGCCGGTGCGGGGCAGCACCATGCGATGCCCTCGAGGGTGGGAGTTGCTTCTTGGTTCTTTCTTTTACCTGCTCAAGGTTGACTGCGTGGCCAGGTTCAGACGGGACGGAGCCCAGGGTCTGTGCAGGGATCGGGCACAGACTGCAGTTTTAATCTGCGGGCGCGTGGGGAAGGGCCGGGAGACGGCTTTTAAAAGCAAACTTATTAAAGTGGAGGCCACCTTCCCAACACGATTCTCATTTCCCACCGTGGGGCAAATGGAAAATCGCCCTGTACCATGGAAGGTCAGCTGTGCTCTGTGACCTGCAAGTCTGAGTCCAGGGCAGCTGACAGGAGAAAATCCAATTTGCCTTTAAATGTCATTTCAGAGAGTTTCAAGCACACCAACTACTTATGGTATGAAAGGGGAAAGGGTACAGATCTAAAAGCTACACAAAGACTTAGGGAAGCCAGATGCCGTGGCGCACACAAGTAATCCCAACGGCTTGGGAGGCTGAGGAAGGAGGATCACAAGTTCAGCCAGCCTCAGCAACTTAGCAAGACCCTAAGCAACTCAGCGAGACCCTGACTCTAAATAAAATATAAAAAGGGCTGGGGATTTGGCTCAGTGGTTAAGCACCCCTGGGTTCAAAAAAAAAAAAAAAAAAGACTTAGGAAAACTACAGTCACAGGGATGAGTCTCAGACAGACACATCAACAGTGCACTTGCACAGGTTTTCTTGGGCTATCCCTGGGTCCCCCAGGACAACTGAGAAGGACAAGGCTCATCACATGTGTGGGCATATGCCTTCTGGTGAGTGTGAGTCTCACTTATTTTGCTCTCTGTGGTTTCAGTCACCACATTTGACTGAAAAACTATTAAATGGAAAAATCTAAAAATAAACACTTTGTAACTTTTAAATCACACACTGTTCTGAGCAGCATGATGAAATTTCACACCCTCCCCCCTGGGGTGTGAATCATTCCTTTGTCCAGTGTATCCATGCTCTATATGCTACCCGCCCTTTTGTCACTCAAGGCCACCTTCCCAATACGATTCTCATTTCCCATCATGGGGCAAATGGAAAATTGCCCTGTAAGATGGAGGGTCGGCTGTGCTCTGCGACCTRCAAGTCTGAAGTCCAGGGCAGCTGTCACCTGTGCCCTTCTCCAATATCAGACTGGCTGCCATGGCGCCTACCACAGGGCTTGTGTTGAGTAACTTGTATTTTCCTGAATCGTGCGTGGCCCTGAAGCGCAGGAACAGTGATGCTGAGGATATGGAGATGACAAAGAGCCGTAAAGTGCTTCCTTGAGGTGAAAAGGTGGAAGTTTTCAACTTCGCAAGAAAGACAAAGAATCATTCGCTCAAGTTGCTAAGATCTATAAGAAGTCACTGCTGTTAATCTCTTAGGTGCCCAGTTTATGAATTACACTTTGCCACAGGGGTGTGTGTGTGTGTGTGTGTGTGTGTGTAACCTATGTTGACCTTTGCAAATGAGTCCAGATGAGGCCCTGGAATTTTCAACCCAAGACAGCCACCCTGGGCTTTCTGAACATCCCCTGAGATGGCCGCTGCTGCCCTCGGTGTGGAGGTGCAGGTCTGGGAGGCTGGGTTAGAGAAAGTCAGGGTCAGGCTGGGCCCTGAGGAGGCTCCGGACACCCTGCCACCCCTGCCYGGCCACACCCCTGCCAGGCCAGATGGGTGAGGAGGAGGCGGCTGAGGGAGAAGGGCACGGGTGGGAATGCCCCGGACAGGGCCGGGTGAGCAGCCAAGCAGGGAACATCCTGTTTGGGTCCAGCAGAATGGCMGGGGGCTTGGGGGTGCTCAGAGGAAGACCAGAGAACCAGGGGACAAATGTCCAGCCCACGGCTCCCGGGAGCAAGGCCATGGTAGGATGCCGTCAGCAGCCAGGTGGCTCAGGCCCAATAGGGCCCTACTCAGGAGCTGTGGGGTGCTGCTGCCTGCTGCTGCAGCCGTCCCCCCACAGGACAGAGAGATGCCACCTGTGGCCACACGCTGAGCACCTGGCTTCTGAGCATGGACACCTGCTTYCCACCCTCTGCAGGCAGCAGAACCAGAGCCTGAGCTCAGCAGGAGCAGAGGGGAATCCTGGCACGGGAATACAGAGGCCAGGGCCCTAGGAGGGGCCTCTCCAGAAGATTCCATCAGCCCTTCCCCACAACCCAACGCCTGCAGGCTTGACCCCCTGTGTAACGGACCACCCCTCAGCCGCAGGCCTGTGCTGCCCCCGGACACCTGCCCCCTTCCCTCCTAGTTCTCTTGGGCTGTCGGGAGATGAGGAGGGGGCTGGGGACATGCCAGGGACTCTCCTGGAGACAGGGATGACAGCTGGGAAGCCACATCYTCAGGGACGGCTCCAGACTCAAAGGGCCTCGCCTGGAGGGCCAGGGTCCCRTCTCAGCTGAATAAGCTCAGAAACRCKCATASGGACATCACTCTGCCACCATTGTTCCCACCCCCTGGGAAGGTCTCAGCCCTTGCAAGCTGGTGTGGGGCAGTCGGGCCAAGATTCGGCGGGCAGCCAGGAGCTGGCAATCCCAAATGGGCTCCCCTTGACAGCAGGGCCAGGTCAGGGCAGGAGCTCAGGCTGTGCCGGGTGCTGGTGCCAAGGGCTGGTGGGCAGGGYGCCCGAGAGGCAGGGGGAATGGCAGGTGGTGCCAGCCCGTGGCACRTGAGCAGGATGGACATGTGACCGGGGCCATGTTCTCATGCTGGGTTCAAGCCCAGGGTCAGTGCAAGGAGGGACTGAACCCTCGGACACAGAATGGCCTGTYTGGATGTCATTCAGAACCCATGCCCTCTTTGCCAGGAGCTATGCTGGGACCACCAGATGACAGGAGCATGGTGTGCTCCATGGGCCTTGGGGACGAGTGGGAGTGGAAGGACAGGACTGGCCAGGTGCGTGCTCTGCCTCTTTCTGTGCATGTGAGAAGCTGTACCCACAGCCTTGTGGGTGCGGGTCAGTGTCCACGGAAAGCACAGACGTCCTCCTGTGTGACGGTGACGTGTAYGTGGTAGTTCTGGGTAAGGGTGTGAGCGCAAGAGGGACTTTAAACAAACAAACCCCAAAAGACCTCAGGCTGAGAAAGAATGAGACTCTCAGGAGCATGGAGGGCGGCRGACACAGCGGATCTTCTGGGGGCAGCCACACTAACCGTGTCCATTCTGCCGGATACATAAATGACTAATGTAAATTAAAGGATAATTGAAGCCCTTTAGGCCCAAATATTTAAATTATTTAACAGGAATAGGAGGGAGAGGGAGGGAGGGCTGAGTGTGACACCCAGAGAAAGTGCCGGCTCAGGGCAGGCGAGGAAGGCCTCCTGCCACCTCCCTCCTCCCTGGACTCTGTCTGCCTCGCCTCCCTCCTGGCTGGGCCCCGGGAGGCTTTCCTGCTGGGTAAGCACTGCTGAGCCAGGCAGGCTGCGGACCCAGGGTGGGGCCTCTCGGTTGCCTTTCTGCTCCCTGAGGCGGGGCCCAGGAAGACCCCAGGAGCTGAGGGCTGGCGCCAGGGGACCTGGGTGGCTCCAGGAGACACGCACCCCCTTCCCTGAGATACCTGGACCTGGCAAGGCAGTGTTAGAGATGGGGGGGTCGCTAAGCCCACCCCCACCACCCARGGAGGGAGGAAGTGAGGCCACCAGGAGGGGATCAGCCACTGGCCAAGGGCACATGGGAGGTCCCCAGCCTTTCTTCCTTCCCCTGAGGTCCTCAGATGGGTCCCCCAAGTCACTAGGAAGCCTTACTGGCCTGGTCCCCCCTCCAGGGCAAGCCTGGAGAGGGAGCGRGGCTCTCCCCTGGCCTCCGCCAACCTGCGGGCAGCCCGCAGCCTGGTTCTCGGGGTTCTGCAGCAAGAACTGGCCACGCAAAGGGCCCTGTGGGGGGTGTGGTCACTGCTCATGTCCCCTGACCAGGGCCTGGGGACAGAAGGTAAGAAGGCCCAGACTCGGGCCCCTGAAACAGCCAGATTTGGCTGGGCTGGGCAGGAGGTCAGTGCGCACAGGGTCAGGTCTGGGAGCTCCGAGGCTGCGGCCTCAGGAGGACAGCAATGGCAATGCTGGGACCCTCCATCAGGGCAGCCCTCAGTGGGCGGAAGGAAGAGCCAGGGCTGCTGGCCACCTCTCCTCTCCTGCGAGTCTGTGGAGAGGCTCCCTGGGGGCCGGCCAGGTGGACAGCACCTTCTCCGCGGCTCACTCTGCACATGCAGCTCTGGCCCGAGACGCCTTCCCTGGTGTTCTGGAACATTCACTCTGCCATCGCTGTGACCTTCTGTCCTCAGATAATGGCGGTGCCGTAGGAGCAGGGATGGACCTCTGCTATCCTTGCTGTCTCAAGAAACCAGCGACAAGCTTCCTGAACAACCCTGCGGGGCCTGGACATGACCCTGGTGGACAATCGTGGCCATCAACTTTGCCCTGGAATCTGGGCAAAGAGGCTTGGGGACGAATGCTCTGAGAGCAGGGGCAGACCAGACGGGTCCCAGACGGCCTGCAGGGTGAGTCCCGGTCACACAGGGAAGAGGCAGGGGAGCTCAGGGCCAGCCTTAACCATAGGATGGACACTCATGGCCTTTTCTCCCTCAGAGGAAGAGGGAGGGGTCCACGGGGGTGGCCATGGGAGGCTCTGGACAAACAGTGTCAGGAGGAGTCCCTCACCCTCATCCTCCACCTCTCCTCAAGTTTGACACACGCTGTCCATCCAGCTGTCCACCTGTCCTTCCCTCCTCTCCTCCTTCCTGCCTCTGCCAGCCCGCCACTCACCTGGTCACCCATGCCCTGGTTATGATGGACAGGAGCTGACCATGCACCTGGAGGACATGCCACTTGGCCACCTCCTGTAGCTCAAGGGGCTCAGGCAGCCTCGGGAGGGCTCCCCTGCCATCCTGAGCCCCCTGCTGTGGCCTCACCTGCCCTGGGGCTACGAAGGCCACCAGGCAGCCCTCGAGAAGGAACCCGGGGATCCTCTCCCCTCTGCCTTGCTGGGACCTCTCCACGCCCTCCCCCTCCCCTAGGCTACAGTATGACCCCGCTGCCCACCACCTTGTCCAAGGATGACCTGCCAGCTCCACCCTTCTTGGAGGCAGCCCCACCAATGGGTGGCCCTCTGAACGGAGGCTGCTTCAAGTCCCCACGGTCAGAGCCTTGTCTCAGGGCATTTGCAGCTCAGACCCAACCTCCGTGGGCTCTGGCTCTCAGGTGGCACCAGCAGACTCTCCGGGGCTCTGTGGGGAGGCCTGATGGGGCCCGTCCCACTCAGCTCACATCAGCCTTGGAGCTGGAGTAGGCAGCAGCCTCGGGATCCTGACAGCCGGAAGCTGCCGCCTAGGGCTGGGGCAGCGCTGCCCTCAGCACCCCACCACTTCCAGGTGCAGCTGGCTCCCAACTGAGCCCCATTTCCGACTCCTTCAACACCAGACCCAGCTTCCCACAGCCAGYGTCCCGGACAGGGTGCACATCATGGAGGATAAAAAGAAATCTTTTCAAAAGTGGTCCCCAGGGTGGGGGATGGGGGTCCAAGGGAAGGGATCCCGGGACAATAGTGAATGGAGCTGGGATTATTTCCTGAACTCTGACTCCTCGTGGGAACGGGGTTATGAAAAGCTTTTCTCAAAATGGTCATTATTGAGGGGGCCGTCCAAAATAAACACACGCACGCACACACGGCACCGGCAGGAAGTGGGAGACATCTGGGAGACATCTGGCTGCGGAGCCGGGAAGCGGGTCGGGGAGGGCAGAGGGAGCTGGGGACGTCTGCATGCTGTGGTCACCCACAGTCACCCACGGCCATGCCAGCACGCCCCCGCCCGCCAGCCCCGCTGGAGACACGCATGCCCACATGCCCACGAACCGTGGGAACCCTCGGGAATCCGCAGGACGCGCACTCTGGGAAGCGGACATCCTGGCTCTCAGCACCCTCCCTCCTCCCTCTTTGGGCTGCTGTGGTCCTTCTGACTCGCCTCCACCTCCAGGAATACACAGGCCAAGTGCTTCCCCACCACCTGTCCCTGGTCACCTCGAGGAGCCGCCGGGGAAGCGCAGGGAGGCCCAGCAGGGCTGGGGCAGACCTGGGCAAGTCTCCAGGCAACCCCAGGCCTCAGTTTCCCCCTCTGCCTGGCTCCCAGGGGAGGGAACACTAGAGAACGTCCACCCAGCTGACATCTGCCAGCCTCCGCCATGCTGGCCYGTGGGGCTAGGTGCCGGCTGGCGGTTTGGGGGTCATGACCAAATGCCAGCACTCAGGTTTCAGGTGTTATGACACCCGAGTGGTCCTGGGGTAGGGAGCCACCCTCTCCCAGCAGGGGCTCCTCCATGCTGCAGGTATGGGCCTGTCACCATCCTATGGAGACCAGAGCTCAGAGGCTCTTGCTGATTGGGGGTCCTTTACTGTTTCCGTGCGACAATGTGATGTGCAGAGGGTTCCTCCAAAGACACCTGGATGGCAGAGACCTTGTTTTGTGCAATTACAAGTCCCCAAAAATTATGCAGCCCAGTACTGGACCTGACAGCATAAGTAAAGGGTCGATAGGGCCATGTGGGTTTGTAAGAGAACAGACTCCGCAGACAGATTCTTTGGTGTAGATCCTGGTGCTGCGACCCACTAGCTGTGTGAGCTTAGGCAAGTTGCTTTACCTCTCTGGGCCTCGGTGTCCCCAATTATAAAATGAGAAGAACAATGCTGAGTTCCAAGGGTTAATTAAGTTAAGTTAATGACATGTCAACTCCCTCACACAGTGTCTGGTGCTTGGTTAGCATTTAATAAATAGAATAAGCTGCAGATTTTAAAAGTAGTCCCCATCCTGTGGCCTTAGGTGGTCACCACTGCTGTGTCACTTCCCTCCACACTGCACCAGGCAGCATGGGACAGACAGACTGGGCTTTCAGGCCACAAGTCCAGGTGGGATGGCCTGGGAGGAGGGGGCGTAGTCCTGGCTAAGGGCTGCTCTGTCCCAGGCACTTGCTGGCTGGCATCTCCCCAGAGGCTCTGAGAGCTGTGCTGTCCAGCCCAGGGCCACCAGCCTCGCGTGGCAGCTGAAGCCTTAATTAAAATAAAAAAACCTCTGTCCCTTCAATGCACTAACCACATTCACAGGGTGCAGCGTGGCAGTGGCTACCATGGGGACAGCGTGGCCATGTCCAGAAGCCCCTGGACACTGCTGCTCCTGAGTGTGGTTTGATGGCCTCAGTGCACAGGGGAGGACACGGAGCCCAAAAGCCCACTCTTTCTGCTCAGCCCGTAAGTGGCCCCAGCAGGTTGGGACAGCTGGGTCCTCATCAGGTGCTCCCCGACCCACCTGCTGGAAGGTGGGGACACACCTGGTGCTCTGCTGCTGACATGGTGGAGCCCATGTGGCCCACTGGTCCTYGTCCAGGCTCACTGAGGTGCCTCCCTTACTGTGTGCAAGATTCTGGGGCTGTCGAGCCTGAGCTCAGATGTAGGGACCCTGGGGACAGAAGTGGCATGAGGGAGCCATGCCAGGGCCTGCCAAGCCAGTCCCAGCTCCGCAGAGGCAGCCAGGCCTTGTAGGGAACAAGAGCCACAGGAYGCCACATTCCAGCTGCAGAGGTCCCCCGGGGGCTTGTGTCCACAGGCTGCATCTGTGTCTCTCAGAGGGCGGGAGGGGACAGCAGCCCAGGCGCTCTCCCTCCACCCCCGCAGGGAGCAGAGCCCTGACCCCGTGGCACAGAACCCAGGTGCGCCCGCGTGGCTGCTCCGTCTGCCCCCTCCCTCGGTGGCCTCCCTCTTTGGGCTGAACTACCTCTGGGGACTTCCAAGTGTCACATCAGGGATCTTACTACTTCCTGCTCACGTTTGTTTTGCACCCTGAGTCTCAGTGTCCTCATCTACACAAAGTGACTCGTCCCACCTGGTGGCAAGACGGGCTGTGYCCCTGTGTGTGTGTATGCGGGGGCTGGCTCTTGATCCATGGGCACAGAGAGGGGGACAGAGGATCTCACAACTGACCTACGGGCGCCCGCTCTCCCYGACGCCTCCGCCCTGTGGGGTGGGCCCAGGAGGAAGGGCCTGGGCCTTGACAGAGCGGCGGGACAGGGTGGGCCTCTCCACAGGTCTCCGGCACCAGGATGTGAACCCAGCCAGCCAGAGAGTCTCCCTCCTGGCCTGGGGACTCCAGGCAGCCATGTGGCCTCTCCAGGCGAGGAGGGCATTCAAGGCCACTGCAGGATGACAGGCAGCAGTCTGGGCCATTATTATCCCTGTTGCTAGAAGTCACGATTCCTGTACACCTGGCCTTCCCCGGCCCTGTTGGCCAGCTGTGACACTGCTGTGACACTGTGTCCTGGGGCAGCCCTGAGCGACCCTGGGCCTCACCTTGGGCCTGGGAACAGGAGGCCCCTTCTGCTCCTCCGGCCTGTGATGTAGAGATAGAGACCTCCTGGAGATGGCCAGCCTAGGCCTGCTGTCTTGGTGCCAGGGACCACAGTCAGGAGAGCCCATCCTCCAGGGACAAAGTGAGATAAGGCCACTAAACACGTTTCTCCCTCGGGCCCTCTCTGGCTAGGATCCTGCGGGGCTGCGGGCTACCCGGGCAGTGCTCAGCAGGGGAGGAAAGTGAGGGAAGCGGAAGGCCCAGCTCCTGCCCACTGCTCACTGAGGCCTCCGGCTCATTCCTGAGCAGACCTGTACCACCTTGGACACCGGCTGTCACCAGGTTCCAAAGTGCAAGGTGGTTCTGTGACCCAGAGCTGAGCTACGGCRCCCCGGGGAAGGACCTCAGCCTCCTTTGCAACAGGCCAGCGTGTGTAGACCACTGGGGGGGCGCCATGGCAACGGCTCCTCTAGGGACCCCTCTGGCCTGGGTGAACCACCGAGCTTCCCTGGGCTTCGTGGGTGACATCCCTCCAGCTGAGCTGCATCACAGCAAAAGGGGCTCAAGAGAGAGGRGACTGGGCTGGGGATGTGGCTCAAGCGGTAGCGCGCTTGCCTGGCATGTGTGCGGCCCGGGTTYGATCCTCAGCACCACATACCAACAAAGATGTTGTGTCCGCCGAGAACTAAAAAATAAATATTAAAAATTCTCTCTCTCTCTCTCACTCTCTCTCTCTCTCTCTCCCCCCTCTCTCACTCTCTCTTTAAAAAAAAAAAAAGAGAGGGGAGACTTATGAGGACATGAAACCCCAGCCGAGGCCTATTTCTCTGGTACTCAGTTTCTCCATCTGTAAAATGGGGACGAATCTTCCTACTTCAGGAGATTTTGAAGATTAGTGGCCCCACACAGTAGCATGCTGGGAACCAGTCCTGGCACACAGGTAGGCCACCATGATGATGGACCTGGACACAGCAAGGCCAGAACCAAAGAAATCACAGCTTCTTGGAYTCCAGGCGGGTAAACTCAGAGAGGCTTGGAGGCCAGCCCACACCTGCCCTTGAGGCAGGAACCTACGGAAGCCATCYTGGTGGTTGGGGACTGGTACCGGGAGCCCCCTTTCTTCTGAACTTCTTCTGACTYCTCGGCCACAGGCACTTCAGGTGGGACAGGGGGATGGCCAGAAACACCAAACACCTCTGCTGCCCCTCCCCCGCCCTCCCCTGGTCTCTTAAACAGGAGCAGGAGTAGCGCGAGGCGGGGGTGGAGACAGGCGTCTGCTGGGCCCAAGGAGGAAATCATCCTTGCTGGCCTCTGCTTAGCCGTGACCCTAACAGGAAGTGATTACGTGGGCCCTTGGGAGGCTGGAGTCTGGGGGAGCAGAGAGCAGGACRAGAGGCCTCGCTGCCCACGCCCGCAGCTGGCCCTGTGCCCCGGTGTGAGCCCACAGAGGCCGCGAGCGCAGGGCCCCCAGCACCGAGAGCCGGCCCTCCTTCCCTCCAGGGTTCCCAGGATCCCCCTGACTGAGAACTCAGGAGGTGACGTCCAAAAGGAACCGAGTGACCTTGGTGCCTGCTGGCCCGGGGCCAGGGAACAGAAGCCAGAAGATACAGAACCGCGTGCCACACCGATGGCTATCCAAGTCATCCCAATACGCAGGGCCATGGCAGGAGGCAAGGGTGGCTGGGAGACGTGTGGCTAGCGATCTCTGGGGCTCCTGGGTGCAGGCAGGGCTTCCCGTGGGGAGGCTCAGCAGGGGCAGCGCCTCCATGCCACCCTCTCCCCGCCTGCAGCCCCTCCGGCTCTCACCAGCAGCAGAGCTCTGGCAGCTGGAGGAGTCCCCCCAGGATGGGCAGCTCCCCAAGGGCAGGCCTGGGAAGGTTGGCTCTGGGTGAGCACCAGCCCGGGAGACGGGGCTCACATGGAGACTCCCGGATGGAACTCTGAAAGCTGCCCTGCCAGATCACCCAGGACCCTGGGCATCGCCACCACATAGGACCCACTGTCTGCCTCSAGGGGACACCTCGCTCAGGCACTGGGGGACGGCTGGGCCCTGCCATGCTCAGCACCAACTGCAACAGCAGCATCAAGAGGAACAGGGCCTCTCACTGCCCCTGGGACCTCCCATGAAGTCCCCGGGGTTGGGGGAGTGCTGAGGAACACACCAGTGAGCCCCCAAATGTCAGGACCACACCCTGCCGCCCAGCCGTCCTGCCAAGCCCATCCCTCTTTCATTCCCATGCCTGTGTCCAGCCCTTTGACCTGCAGGAACCTTGGGGGACATCTGAGTGGGTGCTAGGAGCAGGGAGGGAGCAGGTGGGGTGTGGGCTGGTCAGCCCTGGGGGGTGACCCACACTCAGTTCTGTGTCTCAGGTTGACAGGGCCAGCCCCGCTGGGTGGTGTGGGGGACMCTGCCAGGCCTCGAGGTGCTCCCCAGGACAGTCTACCCCTGCGACCCTCCTTCCACCCCCCAGGGACCCCCTCCCAGGCGGGCAGGCAGGAAGCAGGCTCTCCCCCTGGGCTGCGCCTGTGGGGAGCAGTCCCACCACTGTTTACTCAGTGTCTGAAGGGCCCAGATTTCTGCCTGAGGGAGTCCCAGGCGGGGGCTGTTTGTGGTAAAGTTAATGAGGCGACTCTGGTCCCCTCTGTGGGAGCTCCCGTCCCCAATTACCTGCCTGCAGGGGCCTCTCCTGCTGTCCTCACCTCTCCCAGCTCAGTTTCCCTCTCCCCAGACCCACRCAGCTGGCCAGATGAGGGAAGTGGACAAATGGACGGGGCGGCGGGGTACTGTTTTCTCTTGTCTTAAGATAAACACTGAATAGTCCCCTAAGAGAGAAGGAAGGAACGTGTGAAGTCCAGGTAAAGACACTCGGAAGCCCAATAAAGCTGCGCCCTCCTGACCCAAGAGGCCACAGGCTGAGGACGGTGCAATCCCCGCAGGCTACTGTGCACTGGGCCCGGAAGCATTCGCACAGTGACAGCTGTCACTCACAATAGCAGGCACTCAGGACGGGCCAGGCTGTGTGCCGAGGGCCTTCTGGGTATGTGCTCAGCCCACACCGCCTGAAGCCGCCTGCCCCTCTACCCATTCCACAGACAGGAGGCCTGAGTCCGAGAGGTGAGATAAGGGAAGTGATCAGAGATTCAGATCCAGACCACGGACCCCAGACACCCTAAGCCTTGAGTGAAGCTGTGCTCGGAAGAAAGGCATTTGAACTTCGTGATGGCGTTAGGGGGCAGACTGCTATTAATTCCATTCTGTGGTTGAAGATGAGGCTCAGAAGGGCTAAATAACTTGTCCACAGTCGCGCAGTTAAGATCTCAAACAGTGGGCTTTCAAACCAGTCTGTTACCGAGCTGTCCACATAAACATGAGTCTTGGTGCCTAAGAAGAAGGTGCCCAGGTGGCCTCTGCTCACCAGGTGGCCTCTGCTCATCAGGCTCCTTGGTCTCTGCTGCTCCACACCCACTGAGGCCTCCTGGCCTTCGTCACTCTTGACAGGCCCCTCTGCCCCTCACCCCCACTTCCCTTCAAATATGCAGAGACCCCAGCCCCGGCCACACCCTCTCCCTCCTCTGGGCCTCCTCCTGGAGCTGGGAAGAACTGAGCAGTCTCCGCCTGTGCCCGCCTCCCCTCAGCTAAGCAGAACTCTGTGAGCTTCTTGGGGACAGTTTTGGGTCCCTTTGGGGCTTGGCAAAGAAGGGAACTGTGACTCGTGGGGCTCCTGTGCTCAGGAGCAGGCCCCTGTGGCCTCTGGAGGCATCCACAGAGCTTCAGGGCCCAGCCCGGGTCTCCAACCGCCTCCAGAGGAGCAGCAGGGACTTCCTCTGCAGGAGCCAGCAGGAACAGCAGCAGTGGACGCCGGGCTGCACGTGGGAGC